CTAACTGAAGTCATATAGGAATGTTTCTTTTGTTTTTTTTTTTTTTTTTTTTTTTTTGTATTTTTAGGGAAGGGTCTACAGGGTGTTCAGGGTCTCACTACTAGATAAGACTCTAGTGATCTATCTGCCTGCTTATAGCCTCCCAAGAGCTGGGATTACAGGGGCACCACCACACTCAGTCTTAATTGCCATCTCAGCACACCCTGGGGGGCGGGACCCACATGGTGAGCTGGGGATCAAGTCCCTGGCCCCTGTTCCTGCAGGCGCTTTTAATCTGCTGAGCTGTTCGGCCAGCCCTTACAAACGTTGAGGGGGTCCGAGGGAGGAGTATGGTGACTAGGATGTCATGTAATCTATTGATCATTTTACCCTTGTTATAAGACCATGAGCCTGGAAGGTATGTTCCAAGATATGAAACATTCTCTGAGCAGGACAGATGCCTGTCAGAGGACAGACTTTATATATGCTTAGTGTACAAAGTACTAGTTGCTCTTTGGAACTTGAACTTCTGTGAGTATTTCATTTTTAATAAGTTTTATAATTTCTTTTAAAATGGACACAGATATGTCTGTCATTGATGACCAAGTCAAAACTTTTTTTGAAAAATCAAATTAGACAATTTCTTTTAAACTGTGCATGAGTCTTCAACATACTTATATTTAAGACTAGTGTATTCGTTTGATTCATATATAAGGGAGAGATATTTATTCATAGTGGAAGAACGTTTTCAAAAACCTTTTGTAGACTAGTTTTTTAAAAAAAGAAATACTTTTAATGCATCACTTTGTTGATAGATATATGAGAAGAGGAACTAAATGTATGGGGTCATCAGTTGTTGGTTAATTGAAAATGTAGATGAGATCCCTTACGTTATACACTAATAGTGAAATTTTGTTTCCTGAAGTTAGTCTCAATGTAAGTTTTCAAATACTCTGTGTGTGTGTGTGTGTGTGTGTGTGTAGCTGATGGGACAAAGTTAGAAGGTAATACAGAGAAAATTTATTTTTGATAGTTTCAAGCAGGGTAGAGTAATTGGAAGATTTAAAATTTTATTTTGTGTGTATATTTAGATTTAAATATCACTGGATATAAATATTGAAAGTTTTTAAAAAGTTTGACAGGCTTAGAAAGTGGTTAGTTTCTAGAATGAGCCAAATAAAGTTAGCTGCGTCCTGTAGCATGGGGAATTTAAATGTTTATATTCAAGATAAGTTATGCAACAGTTCTGGTTAAGCTGTAGGTAAACCAAAATGTTAATTTTTTCCCCAAGTAGCTTGAATTTCCTGATAATATCAGAAGACAACAAATTCCCTGTTCATAGTAAGTAATTTAAAACATTGCCTTTTAAACTTGTAATTCTTAATGCATAGTTATATAACTAATCTCTTTTCTGTTTCCATTTCCTATTACAAGGCCAGAATAAATGTTATCTGGTTTCAGTCACTTTTGGAAGGGAAGAGTTGTAGGTTATAGCTGAATCTTGAGGATCTATAGTAGAATGAATAGTGAGTTGAAAAATGTTAAGCTTTTCTTGTTACTCATATTTATAGCAATTGCAGGAAATCTGCATCCATCACTAAAATATAGACAAATTACCTACACTAATGAGCAAAATTTTGACAAGATAGTAAAATAAGCTTGTCAGACTTTGGTTTTTCAGATTATTTTTTCTCAGTAGAAAGGCAGCTGCAGCATTTAAGGTAAAACATTTAAATACAGCCTGTCTTTGTAATTCTATTGACTTATTGTGTATACCCTGGTTTCTTGAAAGGTGAAAGTCTACAATTTTGTAAGTGTAACACACATATTGGACGCGTCTCTGTTAAATTTACTGGGGCTGTGTTTTTAACCATTTTGTATCTTTTCGTTGGAAGATGGGTATCTGAAATTTAGAATAGGTAGAGTAATATCCACAAGCCCATCTAGAATTAACAAATATTAATGTGTTAATCTTTCTCTTTATATTATTTAAAAAGGCATTAAAATCTCTTGAGGACATATTTGTCCACTTTTTATCCAAGCCATCATCTTTCCATCTCAAACAACCACTATCTTTTTTTCCACTATCTGTCTTATCCTTATACTTTGCTTTCTATTATGAATGGACATTTATGTGAGCAGCATATAATTGTTCTCAAAATTTTGAAATCATGTTCCACTAGTCAGTCTGACTTAGGTTTTCAAACAGTGCTTTTAGGAATTGATACTAATATAGTTGTAGTTCTTGTGCCAGTAAAAATATTAATAGCATTTCTTTCAGCGCTTCTAAATGTCCCAATTGATTGAAACATTAATTGGCCACTTTTATTACAGTAGGCCCCAATTTGTTTATCTGATCACTAGTTGGACATTTAAGTTCTTTTCACTATTTTTGTTCTACTTCCAACTCTGCTTTCTCTTTTTTTAAACACCTGCTTAAATGGTTAAAGATTGCTTCTGTAGCAGAAACTGGATTATTGTTTTTACTTTTGTGTATCTATCTTCCTTCAAACAAGATTGGAGCAGTATTTCCTTAAATGATTAGCAGTACCAGATTGTGGTAGTCCTTTCTGACCTCTTAGTCCAAGCAATTTGATATCTGTTAAGTTGTGTGGTT